TAATTAAATAAAAGTTGAATTAACGGTGTCTTAGTTAATATCGAGTGTGTTCTCCCTTCCCATTACAGGTATTCCTATGAGTAGACTGTGTTGTAGTGAATGAAGTCATTGAGAGGTAATTCACGTAAAACCAAAAACACAATAATATTCTGTTGGATAGAAAACTGTGTTTTGAGTTCACATGTATAGCCAATGTTGCACTGAATGGTATGGTCTCCCAAAATACAGTATAACTCATGTGAGAAATAACGGCACAGACTATACGATAGACATTGAAAAGCATTTATTTTATTTTTACGATTGTTATTAAATTTAAGTTTATTATTATTTGTTTTATATATACTCGCTGTTCATTCAATTAATTATATCATTTTATAGGTATAGTTATAGTGCGGAGTATTTGTGTCGAAAGCTTTCAGTAAATTATATTTTTATGTCTTATTTGTTGGTAAATATTTTTCTTGTGTGAAAATATGTGAAATATATTTTCTGTTATATATATGTTTTTGCTATTATTATTGTTTTATTGTTTTTAAATGCCATTTGATATATAAACTTGTTTTTAATGAGAGACTGTCTTATTGTGTCGTAAAATAACTTTTTGATCGCAAAAAATTTGATGACTTTTTTGGTGTTTGGATTTTATTTGAAAAAGTCTTTGCAAAAGTATCACTAAAAAAGTCTATTGTTTCTAAGATAATAATGTGATTCAACATCGATTTCAAAGTTTTGTGTTTTATATAATTTATTCAACATTTAGTTGAAATAATAATTTATCGATTTTATGATTCAAAGAATATTTTACATTAAATTCCTGATAAAAAACTTGTGCAACAAAAAAAAGTTTCATTACTTATAATTTAACTTTGGCTTTAATTTAACTTTTAAAAGTTTTCAGAAAATGAAAGGTTAATCAGCTTTAAAATCTATATTATTTAAAGTGCGATAATTTATTTGAACAAACTTATTACTGATAATTAATTTTAAAAATATGAAATAAACAGTGTTTCGATGATTGGGAACAAAATGTGTTCAAAATTAGATAAAATCTTAACTAATATTGTCTTGCTAACAATTTGTGTACACTTTGTCACGACATACACGTTAAGCACATCCAATAGTGATCATCATCTAAAGCCACAGCAATCATCATCACCAGCAGCTGTTTTATCAGCACCGGGATCACCAGCACTGGTACCACACTCGGAACGCCGTGGTATAGTAGGTAATCAACTGCGGAGTGTATTGACCAACATATTGTCGCCAATGAACCTGGAAGTGCCAAAAGTGAGACAAATGTCACAATTGTTTACGCAATTGTTTCCCACGATTACCATTGACTACAATAACGTGAAAAACGCGTCAAACATACAGCAAATGTTAGACAAATACAACGCTAACAGCGCCCGATATAATCCCAACTATAATAAGCATAAAGTGTTGAACAATTTCGGCTACACTTTCGACGAGCCCTTGAGTTTTGTGTCACAACTGGAAGGTCTGAAATACTCGGCCGATGCCGCCGGTGCCGAGCCCTTCCAGTTCAGCGCCAGTACTCCAGAGTTGGCTAACACTTTAACGGCTCACCCGCTTGTGGCTAATGTGGAGGACGAGCCGACTCTACCATTAAATTCACTAAATTCTCACCGAATGAAGGCTACAATGAGTTTGAATCACAAGAATCCGTACAAAAACTTTATGAACACTAATAACAACAGTACGGATGATGGCATTGATTTGTCGGCTATATATCCGGAATATTCTGCCGAAACCTACAATGGCTTACACTCGACCCCTACGGAAACCATATATGGTCAGCCCGCTGGGAACTACTACCCCCAAGTGCCTACGTATGGCGAGACACCTATTATAACAGCCGATGATATACGGCCTGGTAATACACAGAAGTCCATTGTTGTTCACTATAGCAAAGTAGAAGTGGCCGACCCTTCCCTGAATAGCCATAAAAGCATTATTAATGGACATCAAGGCGCTGCCAACATGAATAAAGATTTGCTAAATAGTAATCAATACTATTATAATAATAACTATATGAATGACAAAAATTTAAATATAACTAATTTGACAAAAACTTCATCGGAATTAAATGTTGTTCACTATATAGAGGACTTGTATAATAAGACACACCAGGAGTTCAATACAATGGCTAACAGTATGGATAAGAATAATACAAATAGTATTCCCATTGACTATATACCGGGTGTTACGGCTGACACCTTACGTCAAACGTACGGCATAAGTCCGGATCAAAAACTCAGATTTCAGATACCAAACGACACTACTATTGCTGAGACAAACAATAATCCCATTAATCAAACAAATCATAACATAAATCATAACACAATTCACAATTCTTACACATATAACAAGAATGTAATGAGAAATACAAATGACATAAATGCGAAAAGCATTGACAAGTTGCCGATCATTTGGGAGAAACACCATAAATCTGGTTATAGTCCCAAAGTGTTGGACATGAACTTCACGGGCATGGAGTGGAAACCTATAGTACCTAAACTGCATGTCAAAGGGTTTGCCGACTCTCTACTCAAACCTAAAATAGCAGATATTATGGACGCGCCTATAATCACCAAAAGTAGCCAAGAATTTAAGAATCTATTAAACACTAAAAGTATTGATCCAAACAATCCTGATATGAATGGCGCCGACTATAGCCTTATGATGGCCAGTGGTGGTCAACCACTACATAGCTATGAGCAACTGATGGACAGCCCTCATAATATGCGTGTACTTCCGTCCAATGTATACGAACAGCAAGTATTATCACCGCAAGTGAAGCCCGAAGGACTGGTATATAATATAAATCCCTTTCCAACCAAACCAGTGGTGCATCGCATCAAAGATTTTTTACGTAATATTTTATTCCCAAAGCAGTAGTAAATGGATTACGAGTCGAAAAACATAACCAGAAAAAAGTTTTTTAAATAATTTTTTATAGTCTATTAATAATATATTATATTGTTTTCCTTAACAGCATTGTAGTTATTATTAAAAAATTAGTTATAAATGACATGAATTTATTGTATGCATTGCTATGTATTTTTTGTATTATATTTTTTCTGCTTAAACAAGAAATACTATATTTTAAAACTCAAACAACTGATAAACTAAACTCAAATAAAATGTCATTAAATGTATATTAACTTATATTTTCTTTTACTTAATTAGCATTAATTATGATTCCCTCTGAATGTATGGCACATCTAATTCTTAACCAATACTTTCGTAAATGGATTTTTAAATACATGTAAATTATGTTATAATAACTATAATGATAAATAATATATTCATGTTATTTAAATATTCCATATTTATATTGAATTTAAATTATTAGTTTAGTTTATATATACATAGAAAATGCTAAAACAAAGTAATACTCTAAAATTTATATTTAATGTAAACAATTATTTTAAAAGTTTTTAAATTTGCACAATAGAAAAAATAATTAATAGTCATTTATTATTAATTTTAAAAATTATACTTTTTCTTAATTAATTTTTTATTAAAATACATTAAAATCCACACATTTGATATAATACTGTACAATATATCATAATTATAACAACAATAATTATTAATACGTCAATATTATATTTTAACTTACCTACAGTATTTACGGTACTATTTTCATAATTAATTAAAATTATAACATATGCAAAAACATTTAATTTAAAATTTATTATTTTATTTAGATTTTGAAACACATGCAATTATCACAGACTAACCTTCAAATATATTTATAATTAGTAAATGTGGACCAGTATATTTAAAAGAATATCATTTGATTATAACTACTCAATTATAAAACATTATAACAATGCTTTCACTATTATTAAATAATGAATAAATTAAAATTAAAATTAATCACATTAGTGAATATTCCTATAATATTTGAGAAAAACATATTTGCTAATAATTTTCATTATAAATATCTAATTTGTCATAAGAATATATTACCAATGTGAGTTTATAAGTACTTTTTTGTGGTAATTTTCTAACCTATCAATACGCTAATATCATATAATAATTAATAGATTCAAAAGGATAATCACTCATCCTGTTCTCTATTTTAATAAATGTATACCAGGTAAAGCTTTACAAACTATCAAAACTTGAAAAATAATAATAAATAGTACTCTACATTATATTTTATAACAAATTTACTAAAATTGCACAAAACAAAAAGTTTGAAACATTTGTCAGTAATACTAAAAAATTTTCTCGATAACAGTACCGTACAGTAAAATAGTACCGGTATAATTTTACACGTACTGAGGAAACCCAATAAAATTTTTAAAAATATTAAATTATAATCTATTAAACAAATTAGAAAATTAAAGTGAAATATCCGGTAAGTTATATAATATTACAGAATAATGATAAATAATGTTTTAATGACATGTAATGTAATCATTGTAAATTACTAGTATCATATATACAGAAATTATATTATTAAATTTTTATACACTGTATTTGTATTGACTGATTGGAATAATTTTTGATATTTTCGTATCAGATTTAATCAAATAAATAGCATTTAATAACATTTAATGATTGAATTTTTAACGCAAATGCATCATATTATTTACGTATAGTTTTCCAAATTATAAAAGTAAATTAAAATCTAATTTAATTTAAATCTGATTTCTAATTTTAATATTAATATTAAAAATCCACATTTGATAAATTAATTCTTAATTATTACTAATAATTTCTAATATTAATATATGACTTAAATGGAAAACAAAGTGTTGGAGTCATTGGAGTTAACATTTGGTGTAATACTCGACAAAATCACAATCGACGCGTCAAACGAGGCAAACGACCTGCACTCCCTGTCTGAGTTCTTCTAGAAGTTGATATTACAGGCTGTGCCCTTCCCATAGGCTCGGGACAAACACCACTTCCGTATGTATGACAATCGGTTTGTGTTCCCGTAACTCTACACCAAAGAGGACATGGAATTGGCACAAATTCTTGGGGCCAGTGTTGAGATACTGCAGGCCTTTGCACTCATTTATGATGACGTGATGGACCAGTCCAGCACCAGACGGGGTCGACCATGCTGGTATAAGCAGGTACAGTTATATTATAAAGTTATCTACAGTATAGTTCTAGAGTGACATCCATGTGCCCATTAGGATGATGTAGGCCTCCAAGCGCTAAACGATGGCGTAATCCTGAAGAATGAGTGCTTCCATACATTAAAGCTATTCTTCGGACACAAGAAGTCGTATCTGAATATTATGGAGACATTCCATGAGATGATGAGGTATACCACGTATGGACAGCATATGGATATGGCCTCCAATTGCAACAACACTGGCCCACGATTTGACTTATTCACGAAAAGCCGATACGAGACAATCGTCAAGTATAAGACCTCTTACTATACGTTTGTACTGCCCGTCCGATTAGGTATAACACATGTCACACATCTACCACTAACTATAATCCATTTCCCTTTTACATAAAGCCATGTATTTGTTTGGAATGGAGTCCAAGTCGGCGCACCGGCAGGCAGAGGAACTCCTACTAAAAATCGGATACTTGTTTCAAATACAGGACGACTTTATCGACTGTTTTGGTGACCCGACTGTGACCGGCAAACAGGGCTCAGACATCGCGGACGGCAAGTGCTGTTGGCCTGTCGTGCGGGCACTGGAACTGTGCGATGAGAGCCAACGGCGCGATTTGGTGGCCAACTATGGCATGAAATGCGAGCAAAACGTGAATAAATGCAAAGAAATCTTTATACAACTCAATCTTAGGGACGTATACCTCAAGGAGGAGCTCACTATCTATGAGGAGATCTGCGGCGATCTCCAGAATCTCAAGAATCACAACAAAATAAGTAAAGAAATATTCGAATTTATTTTATCAAAAGTCTATAAAAGAAAGTTTTGATTGCAATCGATGTGTGAAATATATACAAAATAAATATATTTTAAGATTATTGTCACAAATGTTTGGTTCGTGTTTTCATTCTTCGTTGATATCCTCAGAAATGGTATGAATTTTGTAGCGATTCTTATCAATACAGGTCTCACTGTCCTCGTGAGTGCTGTCCAGTGACTCAGCAAATGATTTGGGTTTCCGGATGAGACCCCAGGCCTGGGGTTCGGCCGATGCCAACAACTCAAACCCCAATGCGCCCACAATATACACACCTATAGTTATGTAGAAAACTAAATCCCATCGACTTTTCTGACCCGGCTGTCCGTAAAACATAATTAAATCAAAAATCAATTAATTAAAGTTAATTGCATATGATTTGTAAAAAAATTATTAAACTTTTTTTCTGAATAATTAAATTCAATTATTAAATACATGAATAATAACTAATAAATACTGACACTATCTCCGAGTATGACTCCGACAACATACGGGCCCACAAACGCGGGTATAGCTGACAGTGTGGCCGCAATGCCGAACACAGTTCCCGAGAAATCAGGCGTAAACTCGCCGTAAATGGAAAACTCTCCGCCCGTCACAAAGCCGTACAGAAACAGTGCGGTTATGAGTAGACCCACCACTCCGTTGGCATTACATCCCATTCCCGTAATTACTGTTTTCGTAAATGGATTTTTAAATACATGTAAATTATGTTATAATAACTATAATGATAAATAATATATTCATGTTATTTAAATATTCCATATTTATATTGAATTTAAATTATTAGTTTAGTTTATATATTACATAGAAAATGCTAAAACAAAGTAATACTCTAAAATTTATATTTAATGTAAACAATTATTTTAAAAGTTTTTAAATTTGCACAATAGAAACAATATTTAATATAATAGTCATTTATTATCAATTTTAAAAATTATACTTTTTCTTAATTAATTTTTTGTTAAAATATATTTAAATCCGATACATTTGATATAATACTGTACAATATATCATAATTATAACATCAATTAATTATTAATACGTCAATATTATATTTTAACTTACCTATTTACAGTACTATAATACTTTCATAATTAATTAAAATTATAACATATGGAAAAAGATTTAATTTAAAATTTATTATTTTATTTAGATTTTGAAACACATGCAATAACCACAGACTAACCTTCAAATATATTTATATTTAGTAAATGTGGACCAGTATATTTAAAAGAATATCATTTGATTATAACTACTCAATTATAAAACATTATGACAATGCTTTCACTATTATTTTATAATGTATAAATTAATATTAAATATTCCTATAATATTTGAGAAAAACATATTTGCTAATAATTTTCATTATAAATATCTAATATGCTATAAGAATATATTACCAATGTGAGTTTATTAGTACTTTTGTGTGGTAATTTTCTAACCTATCAATACGCTGATATCATATAATAATTTATAGATTCAAAAGGATAATCACTCATCCTGTTCTCTATTTTAATAAAAGTATACCAGGTAAAGCTTTACAAACTATCAAAACTTGAAAAATAATAATAAATAGTACTCTACATTATATTTTACAACAAATTTACTAAAATTACATAAAACTTTTTATTGAAACATTTGTCAGTAATACTAAAAATTTTCTCGATAACAGTACCGTACAGTAAAATAATACCGGTATAATTTTACACGTACTGAGGAAACCCAATAAAATTTTTAAAAATATTAAATTATATTCTGTAAACTATAAATATTAAACAAATTAGAAAATTAAAGTGAAATATCCGGTAAGTTATATAATATTACAGAATAATTGATAAATAATGCTTTAATGACATGTAATGTAATCATTGTAAATTACTAGTATCATATATACAGAAATAATATTATTAAATTTTTATATTTCTATTCACTGATTGAAATAATTTTTGATATTTTCGTATCAGGTTTAATCAAATAAATAGCATTAGATAGCATTTAATGATTGAATTTTTAACGCAAATGCATCATATTATTTACGTGTAATTTTGCAAATTATAAAAGTAAACTAAGATCTAATTTAATTTAAATCTGATTTCTAAATTTAATATTAATATTAAAAATCCACATTTGATAAATTAATTCATAATTATTACTAATAATTTCTAATATATTAATATATGATTTAAATGGAAAACAAAGTGTTGGAGTCATTGGAGTCAACATATGGTGTAATACTCGACAAAATCACAATCGACGCGTCAAACGAGAGTTTGCTGGACGTGAGGGACAGACTCAAGAAGATCTTCAACTATAATGTCCGACACGGGAAGGGTATCCGAGCCCTGTTTGTGGTGAAGGCATACATACTGTTAGCCAAACACAAGGGCATTGAGAT